TTTTTTTTTTTTTTTTTTATACACTGGGGGACTTTGATTGAGGCGTCGCGCAGCCAATCAGGTAGGGGTGGCTGTGTGAAACGTAAAGGGTGGCTGGGGTTGGGTGGTAGCGAGAGAGATGGGCGGGGCTTGCAAAACAATGCTGTGTTTCATTGCTGAGGAGTTTACGGACGCGTCAGGGGCTGTCTCGCTCCCCCCCAGTTATCCCCCAGTTTACCTTCGGACGAGCCTGTAATGGACTACTCCAGTTCTCCCAGCAACCTGGACGGATTTTGAGAAACGTTTGCATTTTTAGCTCCTTCCCCCCCACTTCATATTTTCCACATTCAAGTAAGCGGTCGGCATGTTTTTTTTTTTTTTTCTTGTTTTAGTTGTTTCTTCTCTCTCCAGCTCAAGTGTCAGTTCTCGGTGTTTTTAAAAAACATACATTTGGGTTGTAAATGTGTGTGAAAAGGGCGCGGAGGTGACTGCGTGCGACATTTTGGATTTTCTAGGCGCTTGCTGTCGGTGTGAAAAGGCCACTTTTGGAGACGTTTCCGCCGAGAAAGTTTTGTGTGTCGTTAATGGAACCGTGAAAAGTTTGAAACGTGGCTGAAATGCAGCGCTTCTCCGCTGCCGTGCCGCATGGACCACAGCGGACAAAAAGGATACAATATAACGAACCTCCCCGGTGGGTTTCTGAGGGCTCAGAGGCTACATTTGGGTCTGCTGGTGGATTTTTCTGAACCGGGGAGGGGGGAAAAAAGGTTTATTGTGATTTCTGAACGAGCCATTCTTCAGATCCCGCCCGCCTGGATATCACGAGTCATTGCCGTAATGTGTTTGCTTGCAGCCTTTTTGAAGGTTAACTCGACTTTCGCCCTGTTTTTAAACTTAAATTCACACAGCTTACAGTCTTTTAAAGGCTGTTTATTTTCGGGTTAGTGTGTAAATAAAATGTTTGTGTTCCACAAGACATCAACGCGCCTCCTTGTCGCCTGCGGATAAAGTCGCAGTTGCTTGTTGTTGTTCCCCTTAAAGTAACTTTTATTCTATTTTGATGTGTTTGAATATCACGCACACACACGTCCGAGCAGAGTGTGTTTCATAATCTGTTTTTCAGAATGATTAAAATCGACCTTTAACAGATTTAAAAAGCGCATTGCTAGAGTCGAGGCTGATTAAAACTGAATATCCGTCGATTTTATGGTGTAAAACACAGTAATATATTTTAATACCAGCTCAAAACTTGGGTCCGGGTGGTAAACCGGCGATAATGTGTGTATCAAATTAGGGTTTTAGTTTTTAAACAGTGGCCTGAAGTGTTTACGGGTTGGGTTTTGATTTCTTTCCTTGGGCAGCACCCATGTCCAATTGCGAAGTAGCCCGGGCTAAATTCGCATCTGTGGGCAACAAAACACCGCTAACCCCGCCGATGAATGATGCAGGCTTTTGCAACCTTATTTATTTTTAACCCGTTTGAAATTTATATTTGATGCGCCTCCAGTATTTATGGTGTATTGGTTTACAGGGGCGACTCGGCCCATAGCCTACATTTCTGGTTTACGGGTAAGGAATAAAAATAAAAAAAAGCAGCTGGCTTAATCGGAAAAGACGGAATAGGTTATTAAAATTTGACTGTACGCGTTTCCATCGCGGGTTCTGGGTGTTTTTCGTGGCCGGGGCAGAGCAGCTGGCCGCCCCGTCTCCTGGCTGTGTTTCCCTGGGAAGCGGAGCCCCGGAGCGGCTGCCTGCTCGCCGTGCGGTGGGGGTGGAGTGCTGCTAGTCCGCTCAAACATTAGATCTTCATATTGTAGATATATTTTAAAGCTGCGTGGAAAGCCGCAGTCAGGATACACCAGGAGCAACTCATGTGCTCTTTCTGTCGACCAGCTAATATTCAACGTTTAGTTTTTGAAGTGGTTTTCCAAACTGCGTCATTGCACGTATGGACCGCCTGTTCGCTGGAAAGAGGGAGAAATCCGAAAACTAGCAGTTCCCAACAGTTTGCTCAGTCTGCCCTTTAGATTGTATATCAAGCGATTTTTCTCTTGTTGTATTTTATAGGTCAGCAGGATGGCTGAGAAGGAGCCCGAATCGCCTGGAAAACTAAAGACATTATTATAGCCAGAATTGGCTTTTTCGGAATAGGGGGCCTATCCGAACAGACTATTTCTTTTCACAACTTTCCCCTCTGTGGATAATGGATGGCAGAGATTTTGGACCTCCCCGATCCGTTCACGTACCACCTCCGTTGTTGGCGGGGCTCGCAATGGAGTCTCACCGACTCGGAGCAGCAGCAGCAGCCGGGAGGATCCCTCCCTCGCCCGGTCACTTGGGCGCGAGTCATCCGCCGCCTCTCCACTCTGGAAAATTCTTGCCATCGGCCATTAACCTACATCCACACCACAGTAAGTAGGCTACATGGCGTTATACTGTCTAAATGCTGCAATGTGAGTGCCCCCCACCAAAAGCACAACCCTCCAATAATCAAATATTAACTTGAAATAACGCTGCGCAAAAATGCGCACAGATTGTGGATGCCCGTGGCAGCGTACGGTCATCACTTGGACGACGCTACGGTGTTCTGTGGGAAATGAACCCAGATGTAGATTTCATAAGGAGGAGTGGCTGTTATAAACCTGTGACAAGTTTCAGATGTGAAAGTATGGGGTCGTGTTAAGGATTCCCAGCCTTTGCGATGGGCAACGCATTAGCGGAAAATTACTTGGCAGTTTGCAACACAGACACACACACACACACAGACACACACACAGCGGCGGGTGTTGTTGCAGCACTATGCAGGTCAGGGTGCAATGGTCTTGGATTGCATGTGGATCATTACACCGTCATTGCTGTGAGAACAGATGCAGTTTATGTGTGCGTGTTTGGGAGAGTGGGGGTGGTAAAGTTTTGACCTAAAGGGATGACAAACCACTTCTTGCCCTGTTCGGGGAATTTTCTGGAGTGTTACTGTGAGTGAGGACTGGCTGTGGTTCAGTCTCCAGTATTTGGAGTAAAAGCCACTCTCCTGGAACATTTGGCAAATGGCCGATGCTGCTTTTCCCCCTACATTTGTACCAATTCAGTTGGACATCCCCTGCTGCTGCTTCAAGTACATTGGGGGAACTGTGTGTGTGTGTGTGAGAGAGAGAGAGAGAGAGAGAGGGAGAGTGTTTACTTCAGTGAGCAAATGTTGGGTGGAAATTGGATGGTTTTGATGTCTTTGACCATTAAGGAGAAGGTGTGGTATGAAGCAGGCAGAGGCTCCTTAATGTGAACCCCCATGTGTTTGTTTACTTCACGTAGGGGGTGTGTAAGTGTTCCTGTATTACCCAACTGTAGTCACTAGATCATCTACTGTATATGTTATTCCCCGCTGAGCAAGTCATTTTCATTTTACTTTCACTGCCTGCACACTGATATCTGCTCTTACTATTAGTAATGGAAGCCTTGAAATAACACAGTGCAAAAAAAGATAACATTGCATGTTTGCATACAGTTTTGTGGTCAGTCAAAGGGAAAGTCAGAGCTCATCTGGGTTCAAACCAAATGTTGCGTGTGTGTGTAGGAAACATAGGTCTGCCGTGCCATGTCTTTTGGAAAATGGAAAGTCTGACAAACGCTCTCATCGAGTTACTTACATCCCCCTGAAGTCATGTAGCTGCAGACAGAGATACAATTACAGTTCCTCTGGTTTCTTTTCATAGGTAAACCCCAGAGATAATAATATTCAGTTTAGCTGCGTTGCCCCCGTCCTTATCGCAGAGCGTGGGTTCAGTGCAGCACTTGTCATTTGGAGCGCAAGGTACTAGAGGTCTAGTAAAGTGAGGCAGTGCACCCAGGGCAGGGCTCTGAAGAAGCGTTAATTTGACACACCGACAGAGCCCACACACTCCACTCACACACACGCACAAGAGAAGCTGTCGGAGATGAAATCAACTCACAGCAGGGAGTGCGAGGTTGATTGACGGGTGTATCGCGGAAAAGAGATGTGCCAGGGCGCATTTTATTGCAGCTAGTTGAACTGATTTTGCGGCTCTGGGATAACAGGGGAATGTTTTCAGGTGAAATGATCAGACGTGTGGATTTACTGTAAGCCGTGCAAATATAATTTCTCGGTGAAATGTGTCGTTTTGTAGCAGTGCACTTCAGTTTGGATGATGTCCCCGCCTGTGGCTCTGAAATGAGCTGAAAACTGCTTGCGGTGTGTGTGTGTGCAGACTCGCTTGTGTGGAACAACTTGATGTGTAGCCAGGGGGGGGTTTCTGAAGTGGAATTGACCCAACCACTGTCGCAGCCCAGATTGGCAGTTTAAACACTCCTTTAAATCGGGATGCATTTTATTCTGCCCACACATTGACCTTCTCACTCTCTGACTCTCATCTCCCCTACGCACACTCTCAACCTCCACCCACTAAAACGCACCAATGTACGATGCAGGCCATTTAGCTTTACGGCACTCCTCGATATCAAATCCCCACACAGCACTTTAGCCAACTGAGATCTCAGTCCCATGCTCGTAATAACACCACACAGCCTTGTTACGCGATAATTACCCGCTAAACGCAAATGTTCATAATGTTCCTGTTTAATTGCAATAAACAGCACGAATCCAGCGCTCAAGGGCCCAGCATGCAATCAGAGGAGCCAAGGTCGCCCCGCTACTGATTTTGTTTACACGTGTTTCTTGGAATTTGAGATGTTTTCTTTTGCGTCGTAGTTTTGGCTGACCTCGTGATAGCAGAGTTGGCTGTTTATAGCTGCCTACACACCCGTATTTCCCAGGAGTCTCCCTTATTTTAGTTCAGTTTTCCACCTTACTTAATGGAGTGTCTCCCTTATGTTCACAGCTCAAGGCTGGCAGATGTGCGTGTGTATCTTAGCCGCACTGTGAAGATGGTTTGTTGCCATTTGCGCTGCTTGTACACTGTGCATCAAAAATAGGACCTCTGTAAAGACACTTCATCAGCAAATCCTGCTTTATAACCCGCAGAACCTGTTCCTATTCATTCGCACGGGTTATATCTAAACACGGTCAGGTTTTATAGTGTCTTGTTATTGATGTAAAATGGCTGTAAATGGTCCTCTGTCTACTGGAGGTCTGCCGAAGCCTCCATAACCAGATTGAGGCCATCTGTCCTCTTCCCTCCCTCTCGCATCCCAGAGCAGCAGAGGTAGGACCTGCTGAAGTGTGACTGTACCGAGGAGGCCGTACCCCAGAGACTCTACTGTTACAGCTAAAGGTTGACGTGGCTGCATATTATTTTATTGTGAAGGGTGTGCATTAGGAATCAAGATTATGCAGGTGGTGAAATAGAAGCTTTCTCCCATTTGAGCAACATTTTTGGTGCTGTGTTTTGGTTGCACTGCATTTCCCAGAGATCACTTGACAATTAAACACCCTTTTTCAGTGACCAGCTGATTACTCAGTTGTGTTTGTTTAGAAGAACTGTTTTGCTGCAGCTGTAACGTAAAGCACATCGCTTCTTGCACACCGGCAACTTACAACTTACCGGCTGTTGAGAGCAGTAAAAATTGTAATAGCATACATAAACTGGGTTTAGGTTGTGTTATATCAATTGGCCATTGTTTTATGGTCACTTTACCTGCATGTATGACCTTACAAGTTACAGTTAGGGTTGAACAAATGCATGTTTAATGAGGTGAAAATGTCATTCAGGGCAGGGCGGTGTCCCTCATCTGTGAGACTTAAGGGATAACACGCCTGAACCAGCAACTTTTCTGCTCTTTTGTCTCTCTCTTACACACACACACACACACACACACTTTCAGTGTTCACTAGGGAGTAGCAAAAGATAGTGAGATGCAAAGGCAAATGTAGGTGTATTAGAGAAGGGAAGTGTATGGAGATGAAAACGGCTCAAGAAAAATGGAAAAGGAGAACTAAATAGGCACAATCCCTAAGGTAGAAAGCAGTTGTTTGGTTTCAAGGGATAAGAGCTAAGGTTGTGTGTGTGTGCGTGCGTGCGTGCGTGCAGATGAGAGGATTGAGGTCTTGTGTATGGGAATGGGAGCATGTGATTGTGCTTAGTGCAGTTAGAGCTGGGGTTTCCCCCTGGGACTCTCTGCTGCAAGAGATTTATCCTGACCACAACACATTCATACACAGTTAGATAAATGTGGTAGCCCTTCAAATGTTCTCCCTTTTGGTCACACACACACACACACACACACACGCGCAAAGGAGTATAATTCACACAGCTTGCGGGGCAGGCCAGGGTTGTCTCGGCCGATACCAATTTGTCTTCTACGCCACTTGGCTAGGGTGTCTGTATACGTTAAAATTAATGTGGTGAGTGTGTGTTTATATGTATTCAAGACACAGACGTGTGTGTGCGCGTGTGCGTGTGTGCGCGTGTGCGTG